TCACTGTTAATGTTTCACTCTGTGCTCTCAGGATGAGCTGGAAAAGGAAGTGGGAAAAAGTAAAATTGTAAACCTGGAGCTGGTGTTTGGATTCCACTGGAAACCAGGGAGTGGGGAGTCTGTAAGTCTGATACAAAAACACGTATAATAGAATATAATTACTTTTGCAGCTGTGCTTCAGCTAGCTTGTGGCTATTTTGGGGCTAACATTTAGCTTTATCTGGTGTGATTTTTTTATACTCATTTTAAGGAATTTGTAGCCTTTATTTTCTTTTTGGGGCTATTTGTTACCATTTGGCACTTTTTTTTACAGAAGCTGTTTTCCGTCTGTTTAACTAGTTATTGCATTATTGTTACAGTTCATTTTAGTGAACTTTTTCCTACTCAACCTATAACAATTTCTTGGCTAACATGAAGCACTTTTAGCATACGTGGGCTTACTGTTGACTAACATTTGCAGGTTTTTTTCATCCTGTTTTTATCCCTAAGTGACATCTTATTAGATAGACCACACAAGCTGAACCTGACTGTTAAAAAGAACCAAATCAAATAAATACAAAATGTAGAATAAATTAAATAAGTTGTCGTGAACCTAACTACTCTAATTAAATGCGTCGCAGTTTTAAGGAACTTAATTGTACCGGAGTCTCTCATTGTACATAGTGTCACAGATGTTTCCTCATGTGTTATTGAATCTGCTTACATCATGTACACACTGAACATCCCTGTGGCAGAAACAGGCATTACTGCAAAAAGGAAAAACTTAGTCCTTCAGTTCTAAAAACGAAGCCCAGAAAAAAGAAAATAAATTAAATTTAAAGTACTGATTATGGGAAAGAAATAATCTTCACTATTTCTATTCCCTCTCTTATCATCTTCCTCAGGAGGGTGTGGTTTTAATCACTAGTGCCCACCATGTCTGATTGACATCTGGACCCTTCAGTAGGAGCCAGACACAGGTCACACTCATCTCAACATCTATTTTCTGAACACGTCTTTTATACATACACACAAAACCTACACAACTACATTGACATGCACAGCTTCCCTGCAAGGCAAATGGGGAAAAAATACTTTAAAAATATAAGAATTTAAAATATAGTTACTGTAATTAATTTATAAAAAAGAGAAAGAAATACAATAAACAGTTGATTGATTTATCCTCCTGGTTTTTTTTTTCACACCAAGAAATTTTATGGGTATTTAACTGCATTCATCCCTAAACATGTATAAAAGCAGACAAACAAACATTTCTGTCTCAGCCGCGTCCATCCACCTCACTGTGCTCACAGCCCTTTGTTAGCGTCTCAAACTGAGGAGAGAAAGGAGGCTCTTCACTGGCTGTTTGAATTTAATCAAAAATAGCCCATTTAGCCAGAAGTCATTTTCTTTTTAAAAGGCAAACGTTATTTAATCTTTCAGCTGTTCATTGTCCCATCATAAATAGTCCTCTTTTAGTGTGTTCGGCAGGGCTGAAACGAGCCTGCTAATTGCCTCCCATTTCTTCTGACATGTGGTGGTTTAGTGGGTAGAAAACACAGCAGGGAGAAGGAAACAGGAGGTTGAGAAAATGAGAGCTAATTATTTTCCCCTGCCTGGTGTCAGGTTCCGTGTCAGCCTTGTTTTTACAAACTGGAAGGTTTTTTTGCACTAAATAAAACAAACCCGCGCTGCGTTTTTTTTTTTTTTTTTTCCTTCGCCCCTCTTTTCTGGCGATGTCATGGAAGCAGCTGCACTCCTCAAAGACAAAATGAGGGCCTGCGATTGTGCGGCCACCATCTGACAGCCACTGAGGGTCCCCTACTAATGAGGATATCACCGTGCAGCCAAGTGAAAGGTGCTGAATTATGTATGAGTCGTCATTAGACGCACTCGGGTCCTAGGCATCATTACCACACATTGTTTCTGCTGGAGTGATTAGACTAGCACAGACCCGGGGGCCCGTGTGACCATCCAGGGCCGACACCAGGCCAACACAGGGCCAGCGGTGTGTTGCTGAGCCAGGGCTTCCAGAAGATTTTTTTTCTGAGCTGTATCCAGTCCCTGGGGAGGATGCAGGAGAGGGCGAAAGCTCCTCAGACGAGTGTGTTAGTGCCACAGCTCTGATGTCTTTCTCTGTGATCACCACACAATAGATTGGACCACAACCGTGAACCCTGGGTGGTTAAGCAGTGACCTGTGGCTCTGCGGTCGGCTTTTTGGGGATTGTCAAAAATCATTACTGATTCTCCAGCATTGGTTATGCAGCAGAAGAGGAGCGGGAATTGTTCAGTTCCATGCCTCCTTGTAAGGATGTGATGCGCACAGCATGCAGCATCTCATGGTATAAAATACCACTTTTCCCCCTTTATCCATTATCAGTTGGACCAAAAAATACTCAACGTCCCTACTGGTATAAATGCATAATTGCACTATGTAGTATTATACATAGAATTTTAAATGTTGGCAAATTAATTAATTGCAACAATTATTTTTTTCATTCCAAATATTGTCCAGTTATTTTAATATTTATTCTTAATTTGGTGATGGATATAATTTACTTTATTTCTTACTGAGAGGCTGTGGCCACTAACCTGCCACTGACAGTGAACCACCTCTAGGCTGTGCTGTTGGTGTATGAACATGATTTGACCAAACTCTCCTCTTATTCACTCTTACATGTGAATCCGTATTGGTTCCTGAATGTACACGACTTTCTACAAGTTTTTTTTTTCTTTAAAGGATTGTAAATGGAAGTTGTACATGGAGCTGGACGGAGATGACGTGGCAGTGACTTACATTAAAGATGTGATCTTTAACACCAACCAGCCGAACGTGGATGTTCTGAGGATGACTAAGGTGCACTCAGGACAAATCAGCAACACTTTTGTTGTTTTTCTATTTTAAATTCAATTAAACAATAATTAAAAAATAACAAATTAACTTTAAATTATTGTTAGTGTTAGTGCATTTATTTTTTAATTAACTATATTATTATTACAACGCAGCCACCTTTTGTGATGGACAAATGGATGGTGGGAATAAAGCCGAACCAGAAAGTGGATTACATAGTCAACTACGAGGTGAGTCGTCG